ACAACATTTAGGAGAACAACGTTCAACAACTAAGAGCTAAGGTGAACTTGCTGACTGTACTAGATAGTTAACTATTTCGATAGTCGCTCATGTTCGCACAAATATTTATACATGTTCATGTTTTTTTATTTCATGCTTTGTCTGTAGCTATGTGATTAACAGGTATATTCATCTGCAATTGTCTTCTTTCACACAGTGGATTGCCTAGGACGTGTGCAGACGGGTAATAGTGACAGTCGCTCTTCAGCTACTCTGCCATTCCTACTCCTTCTCTCTATCTGTGGGATATCGGTGCTGCTATGTAGTCCTGCTCTTCAACTTGTGTCTGCAGGAGCGAAAGTGAGCCGATGATTTAAAAAGTGATAGGGTCATAGAAACGGACTGGAGGAGACGAATTTATTCATGACTCTGCCAACACACGTTTTGGCGAGAATTTGAAGCAGCAGTGTGGGGAATTTTTTGTGCACGTCACTCTATTTAGATATCAGTGTAGAGCCACTATCAACCTGGATTTATGCATAAATGTTAATAAATGTGTGTGCAGTGCCCTCACGTATTCACTCTCTCACCAGATAGTCTGCATTCATCTATATGACCTGGTAGACTCGCTGTTGCTCGCCCATAATATCATCCTGACTGTGTGCAGATTATGCGCCTGGGAGATCTATTGCTACGGCAGGCTTAGCTAGACATTCTCACTCGTGTCTCATTAAGTGGACCTGTGTCACATTTGACCCTAGTTGCCTCGCAGTAGTGTCAGATAGTTTCAGCAGTCTCACTAATTTTTTACTTACATTATGCATCCTGTTGATTCGCGTGCTCTCTGGAACAAGTCTAAATTACCTGATTGGACTAGGGTCCATCATCTGGCTTCTTGGAGTCATCTTAGCTGCTATACCTCTGACAGGGAGACTGGCAATGCTGCCATGTGCATTGTAAGCACACTACACAGGATCTAGTGTACATCCAATATCAATAATCTTCATGTGACTCTGAGTGTGTGGGTGTGACAAAATCTAAGGGCTAAGTGGACAACTTTTGCGCTTCTATGATTAACCCTCGGCGCGCTGCGCAGCGCGAGGGTACGGTACTTGGTCTGTCGGTCTGTCTGTCTGCCTGTCCGCGCGAGTTCTCGCACTACAGGCTATCGAGTGCCGCCAATTGAGTGCTCACCACCGTGGTGAACAACAGGAAGCTGGATATATCGGACGTGGCGATTTTCTGATCGTAAAGTCGTATTGCCATTCGGTGTGGTACGATCGCTTGCAGTCTCGCACTATTCGTGCTACGAGTGCGTAAGTCAGCACTTGTATGAAATGGTGTAGGGCACGTCGGGTTTCGGAATGAAATCTAACAGAATGTGGTTACTGAGCTGTGTATTATTGGCAGCATGATCAGCCGATAGGAGGGGCATCTATTTGGTGAGGAGCCGTGTTACATGCCTGTGAGCGTTAGGAGCTGTACAATTGGTGTAGATGCTTTAGTATGATGTGGATCCCTCATCCCGCGAAAGCGATTGCCAACGTGTGGGCTCGATCGCGCGAGTTTCTCGCACTACGTGCTACGAGGCGGCCGAGATGAGTAGCACAACGGGGTTGTGACCAACGAGAAGAGTGGATACTGACTGTGGTTTTCGCTTTCCTGAAACGACTGCGTCTCCAGAGATATCGGCGTGAAAACAAATCCTACGGGCGGTCGGTCGCGCACCCTCTCTTGCAGGTCTACATCTAGCGCGCACGCGTCATGTCAATTTTCGCCTCTGGAAGCATGCGCTACTCGCCACGTTGGTTGTGACGATCCACGGGCTTTGATCTCTGTTCTCAATGGACTATACCAACATGCTGATGCCAAGGGTATGTCCGCATGTGCACATAATAGTTCAGGCTGCGAAGGCAGTTTGTGGATGCAGCCAGACCTTCCCATGTATACATAAAAACGTCTGGCGAGAGCATGTGAAACACAGAAATGAGCGGTTAGATTGAATAAAGCAATATGGTGAGAGCCTCTGAAACACCTGAGCCATTGCTGCTAACGAACCGCTAATGCCACTTACGCTGTGTACAGCGAGGGACTCGTGTTAAACACGCGGGGATTTGCAATTATTTTCCTACGCTTAAGTTTGTTTTTGGCAAATTCTTCTCTCTCACTAAATTTTTCCTGCCCTCCACTTATCTGAACTGTGGCAGGAAGAATGCTTCGCGCACTTTGCATGTGAATCTTCTGTTTAAGTGACATAGTGGGTTTCTTCTCAGTTATACCCTCACTTGAAGAACAAGTTTTTCATATTTTATAATGACAGTGTTTAGTGACACATAGCCTGTTTTCTCCCTGATCAAACAAAGTGTGACCCTTTGTCTCTTCTTGCAGCTACTTGATGCTTCACTAGTATTGGATTCTCTCTCACCAATGGCACAATTGCTATGAAGGGTCATCCGGATATGGTACATGACACAATCGCCCAACTAACAAAAGCTATTAAATAAGTAAGAAACCCAAATAAGAGAAAGTAATTAAAACAAAATAAAGCACTATAAAAAGTCACTTAAAAATACACAGTTAATTCCAAGAACAACCCTTAACTCCAAAATTACCAATATTAAAAAAAAACCCCTCACTTAAACTTATTTCTAATTCGCTTCCAACACTAACCACTGTACGTCCCTTGGCTTCACCCTTCCCAGTCTTCTTTCATATCCACCCTTGAACTTCCAACCTTCCCGCTGACCTCTTCTCCTTCCCTTTTATTTTCACCAAACACGAGTATTATTGTATTTTCACACATTTATTTTTTCTCAAATTATGGCATTTCCACAGCCATACGCGATGTGCACATTTTTGTGGCCATAATGATCTTGGTAGGACTGGACACAATATCATAATAGGTTGTAATCCTTTCGATTGGTGTGACTGAAGGACAGCTGGAGATGACTCTTACTCCAACAGAGAAAATCCCATTGAGCTCATGGGGTATGTTCCTTGCAGTTGACATCCAGAAATAAGCATTTTGTGAGGATGATGAATCATTCACGATGATCGCACCTGGTGAATGTGTTTGTTATGGTATTGGATGTACAGTCAGATGATGTATGTATATACAACAGGGTCTAAAAGGCCATCTCTATCATGTACACGTTAATGGAGCCCCTTTTGTGTGAAGCTGGGCATTGGGATGAAGCTTCCCTGCTCCCCTCACTAGAGAAAGCCCGCCCTTAACTTTACCGCATGTGGAATAATATTGCACATTAGCATGTTGGGTTCCTTAACAGCACCTAATGTGCACCTAAATATACCATTAAGTGCCGTTAGGTGTCCCCAAAATAAGTATTTGGAGCCCAGCACCAACAACAGCAACCACATCGTCATTTTGTGCTCTTTGCAAATTGAGTAAAGACTTTACACAACCATTCTTATCTTTGTCACAGCCAACCAAACAAGATTACTGAAAACTATTTTCTACGTCTGCTCTGGCCCTGGCCACGAGTTCTCTTTCCACTCTCATGGTGGCAAAGCCTTTTCTCTCCTGTGTGATGGCACTGGTGTTCTCACTCAGGACGAGAAAGATGAAAGACGATGGTCAAGACGACTTCAGTTTATCGCAGGCCTCAGTGTACGTCATGAAATGGTGTCCGTGGTGATTATCGTCTCAACATATCTCTGTTGGTGTTCCTCACACACGACTCGTAGTTCTGCTCTGCCTCTTCCACCTTTTCGGCAACATAGCCGTCCTCTGCTTGATTTCATACCAAAGGTTAGCCTCTCCGTATCTATTTTAGTGTTACATTGCATTGTGTAGCAAAACAGTAAAATGAACAGGGTTTTGTTGTTGGTAAAGTAAACGTGTAAGTGCTGGCACACCACGCTAACTCACATAGCAATGCACATTTCGCTCCCAATGTCACTCTTGGTATATATACAGAAAAAAATAATTTAGAGGAACAAAGGAGTGAAAGGAGTGCACTAAGCATTAATTATTGTGAAGGAGAAAAGGGAAAGAGGTCTAGCTACAAAAATCCCAGCGGGCAATGTGTTGGTAAAAATGTCATGTTCGATGGTGCATATGCATTGATGTCATTTGTAATATCCAGCCACTGACAGTCCAGAGCTTCCATAAGTCCATAAGAATATATATATATACATAATTGTATAATACTAGACACTAATACTTCATCAATTTCTGCTAATTTAAGTAGATAGCTAAAATAGTAATTACTTGTAACAAGTCATGTGTATTATTACCGTGGCAGATGGTGGCGATCTATAGAGATCCCAAAGGGGAGAATGTGGTGGTGACCGGGTCAGGGATGGTGGTAGGGGCTCCTCGTCAGTACACTGTCACCACCCAGGATGAGAGAGAACTGGAGGGACTGAGGCAGAGGCTGAAACATCTCCAAGACACAGTCAAACACTACGGGAGTGAGGTAAGGATTCCACGGAGCTCCTCTGAGTAAAAAGTGCATAAGTGCATCCCACCTAGGCCAGCTCATATGGACAAAAGAACTGTCTTGGGTGTAGCTAATTCGTTGCTTCTCCTTTGCTTTCTTACCTCGTATGTAGCATTATGCAATTGAATTCTGACTAAATAGCTACCTTATAGCTACCACTAGTACACTATACCATTTGTGACAAATACCTTTGTGAATAATTTACATGATTTGTGACAAAAGAGCTAGGCTTTGTGATAATACATTCAGTTTTCTATGCATGAAGTTTGCAAAAGTTCTTGGTAAGGCTCGAAGACACCACCAACCACAGCATCATAACAATAACAGTGTTAACAATTATAGCTTCCCAGCATTATTATTACAATCTGCGCTTGCTACACAATTATAATGCCCATGGCCTCCATGTGAGCAGGAGGATGAGGAGGAGGATGAGGAGGAGTCTAACCGGGAGGTGGTGGGAGGTGGGAGGACAGCTGATGCCCACTCCACTGATGACATGGGGACTGACCTCCGCTCAACCTCAACCTCTCACATCTCACGCTCCTTCGTCACTGACTGATCTGGAACTGGAATTGTATTACATCGTTAAATATTTCATACCTAGCTATTATACTAACCTGCAGCAAGAGATTTTGTTATGCCCAAAATATTTGCCTCTGCGGGCCCCTTCCACATACACCTTTGGTTTACGCATGCGCGCGCACTTTCGACTCCGCCTCACTCGCAAACCACGGATGGCACGAAAGCGGCTGAAGCCGAGTAAACTGGAGATGGAGCTGGAGGACCTGGCAGTCCCAGAGAGGAAGGCAAGTCTGGAGCAGTACTCTACACCTCCCCATATCGCCGCACACCTCCTGTGGGAAATCTCCCAGCACTGCGGCAGCATCCGAGACGAGTTCGTCTTGGATCTCGGCTGCGGGAACGGGATACTAGGGCTAGGGTGCCTTCTACTGGGGGCAAAGTTCGTGGTGGGGGTCGACATTGATCACTCTATGATTGAATCAGCTCGAAAAAATGCCGCGGGTCTCGGGTTCACTGAAGGAAATATCTATTTTGTGAACCAAGACGTACGAGAGTTTGATGTAGGGACATCGGATATTCCTGGCCTTGTTGGATGCCAAGTGGACGCTGTAGTTATGAATCCACCGTTTGGAACTATGAAGGATTCGACTGGGATTGATGCTGTCTTTGTGTGTAAGGCACTGGAGAGTGCTAAGATAGTTTACTCTATGCACAAGAGCTCGACGCGGGAGTTCTGGAAGAAGAAAGCAGTAGAACTTGGTGTCCAGGTGAATGTGCTGACAGAGGTGAAGTTCAATATAGAGCAAACATTCCGGTTTCACAAGTACAAGAGTGTGGATATACAAGTTGATTTGATACAGTTTCGTAAATTATAGTTGCTGGATATTATCATTGCACGTGCACCCAGAGAGAACGCCACCTTTATGTCACATGATATTTTAAACCTATAGCAATCTGATTGGGTTACCCATTTCCCGAACATGCTGACTCACGAATTTCTTGGATGTGCCGAGTCATTTCTTTTTTGCTGACTCAGCACATCCAAGACTCAGCATGTTTGGAAAACAGGGTAACCCAATCAGATTGCTAGGTTTAAAAATATCATGACATACAGGTGGCTCTGGGCACACGTGCAATGATCGAGAACCAGACAGATGACTCTTGCGCCATGTTACACAATTTCTGTGCACATGCTGATTCAGCACAACCGAAATCTCTTATGTTATGTATCAGACCATCTTTCGCGAGTGAGCACGTGAGGGTCTGTGCACGAGACTATTAATGAGCGAGCTTAGTATTATTTCTTAATGTATCCTATCTACACACTGAAAGTTAGTGTGTCATTAGCCACAGTGTAGAGCAGAAGAGAGAGCCCTGTTCAATGTGCCACTGCCTTCCTCATTTCACTCAAGCGGGGACTCTTTCTGAGCCCTGAGTGCACATTTATATCAAACTACATCATGCAACCCTTATCTGCTTCACTGAGAATTCTGTCTGTATAATTATTACTGATTTCACCCTCAATGTGTTGATCTAACGACGTGGTCACCATAATCTTACTAGAGTCTCAGTGGGATTCTTCGCACCTAGCATGTTATGCTGTCAGAGAAAGCGCATTATTTACCGTGGTACTAAGGAAGAGCTATAATATACACTGCATGGGTGGCGAAGTTCGCACGACACAACACCACTGACACCATTAGCAATGCTTACCCTCAGTGCACAAGCATGCACGGTGGCTGGGCAACACGTTTCTAGTTTAAACACACCCTCCTCCGTTCTGAGATATTATGCCTGTGCCCTGCACATCATTTTTACATAGCTATTGAATATTTTCACGACACATCACAGTCGTTTCAGGTGAGTGGCACTGAAGCTCGTTTGTATCGTAGGATGACTAGCATGTAGTGCAAGAATAGCCGAAAGCAACCGCCAGCAGCATTATTTCACCTCTAGCCCAGTTGTTTAACCTCTCCCTTGCAACGGGAAAGTTCCCAGAAATGGAGGCGTGGAAGATAGCAAGTATTGTCCCAATTCCAAAGTCAGGGGATAAAGGTCACCCATCTAACTACAAGCCCATCTAACTCTTGAGCATTGTTAGTGAACTTTCGGAGAAAATTGTGTACAATATTCTCCGGCATCATCTAGCTACTTGAACATCCGATCGTCAATGGGGTTTTCAAAGGGGGAAATCAACCACTACTGCTCTAACTCTCAGCAACTCATGCATGACTGGTTATCTCTTCTTGACAGGCAATGTGATGTTGTCTGTGTATTCTATTGTTCCACACAAAAATTAATGCAATAATTGTCTCTAATGGTTATGTAGCTATCTCGAAAACTGTATGTTTTAGTGACGGTGAGCACTCAACATCTACTCTAGTTCGTTCCAGCATTCCATAAGGCTCAGTTCTGGGACCATTATTTTCCTCTTGTACATCAACCATCTATCTAAATACACATACTTGGGTGTTGATTAAAGAAGATGTGCGAGTATTCAAAGGTGCTGTATTGTTGGATGGGGAATGGTCCGAGGCATTTGATGTTGAACGAGGGGTAGCTCCGGGATGTAGCTTATAATCTCCAATTTAGTTTTCCGTATTTATCAATGGGTTGTTGAGGGAGGTAGAGCAAGCTGAGATTGGGATCGATTTAAGTAGTGGTGGGAGACTTGGAGGACTTTTGTTTGCAGATGACTTCGTTGGTGTTAGTGAGTCTAAGGATCAGTTACAGACGCTTATAGATGTGGTGCATGCCTACTGTCGAAAATGGAGGCTAAAGTAAGAGTGCAGTGATGGTGTTCGCTAGGGAGTCAGTGGATGGTGGGGGAGTATGTTTTGCCTAGAGTATGTAAATACACATACTTGGGTGTTGATTTTACTAAAACTGGTGCATGGGATGTGCATATCAAGAATGTGTTAGACAATGGTAAAAGGAAGGTTACTCAGTTGCATAGTGTAATTAGTAATAGGGATATTGATTTGAGTGCTCGCAGGTTGTTGTTGCTGGCGGTGGTTAGGCCATCTTTAGAGTATGGAGGCACAAATTATTGTATCATAGGATTACTAACGACTCTTGGACTATTTTAAGGCTTTATATACGGATCTAGTTTGCCCGCATGTTGAATAAAAAGCACAGGTGTGGAATCCGTACCTGGAGAAGGACGTCAATGTTTAGAGAAGGTACAACTATTCATTTGCATTACGAATGTGTGCAAAGACTACCATGCGACATAGCTATGGACTTCCTAATAATAGATATATTTGGTGTACCATCACGTATTTGTCATTATGACATTTTTATTGTATTGTGAACGGACTGTAATAGTGAATTTTCCACAGCAGAACATTTTACACCCAACCATAATAATGCATGCCATATCAACTCGGAATTTCAAACCTCATTCTTTTAAAGTTGCTTTCTCTCGCTGTAATGCCTTCAAATTATCTTTATTCTGAACTGCCATCCGACTAGTAGCTATATGCATGTAGCTATGCCTCTCGAAGCTCATACCTCTGATCATTTACTACAGGTCAAACAGCACATATCTTGCATTTTTTCTGTCCCATTTTATGTTATGTAGTTATGTGGTGCACTTCCATAAATTAGCTACTGGCAACTGCTATAATATTGTGTACCCTGTATCATTATGCAGGATTTTAGCTGCAGACAAGCAGACACAGACCAATAACGGTAACCCTCGCTAAGCGACTGCTGTATCAAAAAGTTGCCGACACTTTTTTCGAAGGGTTCGTGTGTTTAATTAAGTATACCCGAACACTAGCTCTGATGGCAGCGAACCCCTGGGAATATAATTATAGTTGGCAACTTCGGCTGCGCGGGCACATTACGTCATTTCCGAGTGTTGTGCACAAGACGGCAGCGTCGCCACACCCGAGCACTTCCGGAGGCCGGCGATAGTCCCCGAACTGCTGTGCAACGACCACGCTGCTACTACAGGTATGGACAGCGTCATTGAGTTTTCATACCACAACATTGAGCTGTACAAGTCCCAGAGTCTCGGTAGTGGATCGTATGGAGGGGTGTGTAAAGCCAGATGTGATGGGCTGCTGTGTGCTGCCAAGATCATGCACCCCACCCTCTTCGATTTACACGACCCTGGGTCTGCTTCCTACCTTGCAAAATTTCAAGAAGAATGCCGCTTGCTCAGCCTAGCTAGGCACCCCAATGTAGTCCAGTACCTGGCTACTGACTATGATCCTGACACACGACTGCCTGTTCTCCTCATGGAACTTTGTGACGAAAGTCTCACAGCATTCCTGGAGCGATCCCCAGGGCCACTGTCCTACCACATTCAGGTGAACATCGTCTACGACATAGCACTGGCTCTGGTCTACCTACACTGCAATGGTGTCATCCACAGAGACCTAACAGGAAACAATATCCTTATGATTGCTGGTCCTAGAGCCAAGATCACTGATTTTGGCATGTCTAAGCTAGCGACGGTCAATCCTCGCATGACAGCCTTGACCCTGTGCCCAGGTAATGTCCTGTACATGTCACCCGAAGCCCTCGATGAAGCTAAGTCCTACACAGCTAAGCTCGACATGTTTTCTTTTGGCGTTATTACCATCCAAATGCTGACAAGGCAGTTCCCAAATCCAACTGATCGCTTTCGTCTACTTCGTGTCCCAGGAGTCAATCAGGAAGTTCGCGTTCTTGTTCCTGACGCGGAACGTCGCAAGGATCACTTGGAGTCGATTCCACAAACTAACCCTCTGAAGCATATAGCAGTGATATCAATAGAGAAAGAAGAAAGTAAGCGCCCGTCGGCAATCGAGCTGAGTGAGAGGTTAGCTGAGCTGAAACAATCTTCTCGGTATACAGAGAGTGTTCGTAGGGCACAAAACCTCAGTTATCCACACGAGCAACAGCAAAACCAGCCTCCCTCAACCAATGATGGACCAACAAATGGGACACCAGAGGAGAAGTTGATGAAACTTGGAGCAGTTGTAGAAAAGCAGAAGAGTGAAATTAGGGTGAAAGATGAGGCTATAGAGAAGACAGAAGAGGAATTAGATAGACAAACACTTGCCATCGAGCTGAAAGAGAAAGAGCTACATTGCACAGAGGAAAAACTCCAGGTGTCCAAAAAGCTGGTGTTCGAGTTACGTCAAAACCAGGAAAGAATGGAAAAATGCCTTCAGGAGAAAGACAACAAAATTGCAGACTTTCAGAAGTTGCTTTCGGAGCACAAGAGAGAAATACCCAAGTCAACCATTGGGATAGCTATAGAGCAACCTCAACAGCCGCCACCTGATACACCACAGGCAACGCCACTGAAGGAGATCAGGGAAATGTCATGGAGGGAAGGGAAGAGAGCACCTGAGAAAATGCATAGGGGAGCAGCAGCCGTGAAAGGGAACTCTGTTTACATAGCTCCAGTCAACTCACACATAATCTACCACTACCAGTATATGGAAGGAGATGAGAAGTGGTTTTGCCTAGCCAGCAGTCCAAACAAAAACGTTGGTCTTGCAATGATAGAAGGTCTCGTTACAACTATTGGTGGAGTACGGGGTTCTAGTGTCACCAGGAGCCTGCTGAGTCTCACCAGAGAAGGAAAGTGGTTCGAAGTGTTCCAACCGATGCCCACACCGCGAACCAGTCCAGCCTGCATCACCAGCGACAAAACTCTGGTCGTTGCCGGAGGAGACGATTTGAACACTGTTGAGGTTATGAAAATGAGCACCCAGCAGTGGATCACTGTGTCCTCTTTGCCTCAGCAATACTCTCTGCTCTCCGGCACTCTCTGTGGAGACACACTATACCTTGCCGGAGGAATTGCTAATGATATGGACGACAGCAAAACCTCGTCCAAATCTGTTTTAGCATGCACCCTTTCCAACCTCGAGCCACCCGGCACACTGTTTGCCACTGTGCGAAAGGCCTTCACTCGAAATCGCGATGTGTGGAGGGAGATTAGTGGGCTCCCAGTGGCTCACTCAACTCTAGTCTCGTTTCGTAGTCAGCTCCTGGCCGTTGGCGGGTGGGACGACTTTACCAACCCCACAGCCAATGTGTACAGGTACGACTCTCGTGTCGACTCGTGGAGTGTTGTTAGCAGGATGAGGAGAGAGCGCTCATTTTGCCATGCCGCTGTAGTTTCTCAAGACACACTTATTGTGGTGGGGGGATATGAAGGGAGAACAATGACTAATACTGATACTACTGAGGTACTACACTGATTTACTACTTACTCCATTGTCACATTCCTACAGACATTCTTTTCATGTTTGAAATGTATATACCTCCCATGACTTTTTTCTGCCCATACTCAGTTGTACAAACCTGTCATTAATGGGTCACCAATGCTATATATGCACAACCTGGTACCTCAATAATTTATACAAATTACACAAATGATTTTCCCCCGTTTCTGTCACCAGTCAAACTGTATGTCCCTTTATCCTGTTCTTTTTGAGTAAAGGAGCTAGCTGGCCTGCTCTAGCCTAGTGTACTGCACACATAACGGTTGTCTTCTGTGCATGCAAGCATCAAACCTCCCCACAACACATCTGCTAGCTAACCAGAGGTGGCTGCAAGTATGCTCCTTGTCTGGGTACAGACGCTCTAATGTCCTGATATTATTATAGTACAACCACTTCTGCAAAACATATAAATCGCAGAAGGCTACATGCATTGCTTGTTAACAACGACCATCTTACAGGCTCCTGTGGTCTCAGTTAGCTAGCCAAAGCCTGTAGCCACCATATTATAGTCCAACAGCAATGCTTGCAGGTCCCTGTAGTGTCAATTGTTTACATAGCTAGATGAGTGTGTCCCTAACTTGGGTTATGACATTCCTACATTCTTCCTTATACTATATACAGTGCATAGTGTTTTCCAGTCTTTGCTGGCAAAACTCTCATGCAGGCAGGGCTTAGCCCGTAAAGCTTTCGTGCTGGCTGGTTTGTAGGTGTTGTATACCTAGCCTCAGCAGATTGTTGTTAAGATACTACGTCTCTGCAATAAATTTATCATGCCTACAGTGATTATTTCCATTTAATCTACACAATGCTCTATGCCATAATAGGGAATGTGTGGTGTCCTTGACCACTGCTTGACCAGGAGCTTGTACGTGAGTAGTTGATAGTGCTTTATCAACTGAAGCCAGGAATCTGCAACCCAATACACTACATGAAGAGCAATCATGTTTGTGTGATGCCTTTGGGCCAGTGTGATGTCACACCACTGGGTATGACTTGCTAGGTCTTCAAAACACACTAGCAATAGTCTACAGGCCCATATGTTGCTATAGAAAAGCCCACAGACTTTATACGTCCCTTCAGTTCTCCACCCGAGAAATCGCTCATACGCGATTTCGCAACTTTCATATCATCATATTCTTCGTCTTCTTCTTCAGTAAACCCGCTATCCGCTTACGTGAAGCAGTTGAAGTGCTGATATTTTAATTGCACTGAAGTGCTAACCCTTAGCGAACTGCGCATGCGCGGTACCGCCATGGCTGGGCTATTAGTATACGTTACTCATCGCCATATAAATCACAGGAGGCTTGACAGTCATCATCTTACAGGCTCCTGTGGTCTCGCCAAAGCCTGAAATGTGCTGCATCCACCCATATAGTATATATATACAAAACTCCAACAGCAGATTCCTGTGGCGGCAATTGCTGTTTACATAGCTACATGTGTATGTGGGTTGTGAGGTTCTTACATTCTAAAGTGCCTCCAGAAGCTCAATTTGTTGAGGATGATTCACCCGCCTTACACTTTCAATGTAGGCATCTAGATATGGGCGTATATATATAAGCGTTCTCATACTTTTGTCTTGCAAGCGGTACCACAGAAGTTATTCTGCACCACAGCACGTCGTGCTAAGCCGGCCAGCGCGCGCATGTGCAAATGCGCTAGGGGCTGCGCATAATCTGCCTGCAGAATTGGGAAAAATAGCGGCGAGCATATGCGCACGCGCATATTTTTGCCTCGCGCCTGACAGCCAATGCGCGTAAACATTCCGACTGAGGCCGCTCGTGCGCGCGCTCTACTGACTGCGCGCGAAGCCAGACTTCCTACGAATTCCTCTGATTACTTGCCTCTGTCCGACCATATGCAGCTGCTCCACCCCCTCTCCCGCCAGGCTGAACTGGAAAGCCGCATATGAAGACGGATCCATCACTGCCTATGCTGCCGCTGTGGACGAAGTTATCATACCTCTATTGGGGAAAACCTACAACTCACCATCTGAGGTCGGTAGGGAACTAAGCTTTGTCTCCAGTCACTTATCCGTGGTAGCTTCTTCCCTGATAGCTACCACGTGTGAAAACAAGGCCTAGGAATAAGAAACACTTCTCAAGTAACCCACAGTTGAGGGAGCTAAGCTCCAAGTGTAAAGCAGCCTGGAGAAAGTGGTGTGACGCAGGCTGACCGAGGGTAGGCCCTGAGTACGAGGAAAAGAAAAAAAACTCAAGAGATTGACTCGCCAGCGTGCAGATAAATACCAGGCCACTCTGGAGCGACACTCCTTGGAGAAACGTGAGAAGCAATTTAGGTCTACAGATCCAAGACGATTTAGAACACCGTCAAAGAAGGTCTCCCTTGGTGAGCGTCTAATGTACAATAGAGAAGATATTTCTGACCCTCCCTCTGTCAACAACCGCTGGGCTCAGCATTTCACCGATGTGCAAGATCAGAATCAAACTCCAATGTTTCCGATGCAGTTAGACAAGCTACACTGCCTCTGGAAAGGTAGAGCAAAAGACCCCCTGGCCTGAGCTGTGACAGTTACAGGGGCATTTCCATTACCTCTGCCATCATGAAGCTCTTCGAGTACATTTTACCTGAGAGAAATATGCCAGTGATGCAGGAAAATGGCCCTCTGTACATACTGGCCCAAATGGCCTATAGAAAGAATATCTCATGCCAAGACGCTATCTTTGTCTCCATGGAAGCAATTCGAAGTATTCTCCGCGATGGAAACTCGGCCTACCTATCTCTCTATGATCTGGAGAAGGCTTGTGACTCGATAGAACACCCCATTCTTCTGCGTTCCCTGTTCCATGCCGGTGTGAATGCGAAACCTTGGAGACTCGTCAGGGACTGGTATATACAGCATTCTCTCTGTAGTAGCCAGGACTGGGTCAACTACGTCAACATCTATTCCCATACTCCGTGGCGTGCAGCAAGGTTTGGTTCTGTCACCTTGTACCTTCTTTTTAGTCATCATGGATGAGCTTCTTCAACGACTGAGTACAAAAGGCTTCTTGTGCATCAAACTGTCATCTGTACCTAGGCAGAGCTGCCCATGCAATGTATGGGCATGGGCAGCACCTACCAGTGGCAAAGCCTTGAGGGGATGAATCTCATTAGTTCAGAACCACAAGCGCTGCGCTCCTGGCAGCCTTTATAAACTCGTGATGCCAGAGAGAGAAGTTAGGGTATGCTCTGCTGATGAGGGCCAACAAGCCCGAAACAGCTGTCCAGAGCTCCCTTCTTTTTTCTATGGTCTCATATCTCCATGCTGACGATGTGAGAGCCATCAACATCTGTTGCTGAGGCCCAGGGTGTCATTGTCTCTGACTTTTCATCTGAGCAATAGGGCTAAGACATAAATTGTCAAAGTTTCCAACATCACCCAGTCTAGATCTATTCCCGAACATCTTTCACTCATCGACTCCAATGTCCCTACAATACCCCTGGCTAATTGCCTAGGTTTTCTGTGGTCTAGTACACTATCAGCAAAACCTGGCATTGAACACAGCATCTACAAAGCAAAAAGCAAGGAAGAAATTTGTCGCTCTTGGCTCATCTGGTTGCTTTCTGGGATACTCTAACCCTCTTTCAGCAAGGGAGATAGTTGAGTCTTGTGTCAGCCCCACCTTGCTGTACAGCGCAGACTTTAGGTACGAACTCCTTCGTACCAGCGAGAATAACGCGGACAGGCTAGAAGTCATATACCACCTCCACCATCAGGTTGCACAGTTTCATACCTGAAGAGTGTAACTGGGCAGACCAAGGTGTATGTGAGACCACTGTAAAGGGACCTAGCTGAATCTCCCGCTGCAGAGGAATAGACGGTAAGGGTTTACGCCTCTCTTTGCACTGTCACATTTATTTTAGTGCTATTCATTGTGTTCGTTTAGTATTGTGTGTTCAGAAATGTAAGAATGCTAATGGGGGGTCTCGATAGCTCATGGTGGATCAGGCTACCCTTACTTCACTCCTTCAACGTTCTCGTTATTTCTGGTGTGGATACCTGCTCTTTAGTTCGGGATGAGATATACACCAGATCCCGAAGTTGAGGAGGCTTTACAGAAGGTAATTAACATGACTGAAATGAGGAGTGTGACAATAAATGTAGTATTGGTTTCAGATCACATCTGTGAGAGATGATGACAACAAGCTACAGGTTGTAGCACAGAGCCAATTTGATATGTTGCTTGCTTGTGGCTACACAAAACCGATTGTGCATTTGACACACAAGGATATTCCTGGGACTCCACACAACCATTTTGAAGGTATATATTCTTTCATGAGTGTCTCACTCTTTCAGAACATAGTAAAGGGTCTACAGGACTCCAGAGTTCTTGAAGGGATACGCAAGTTTCCAGATTTCCCCCGTCCTCTCTTTGTGTTTAAAGACCAAGAAAGGCTAACTGCAGGTATCATTAACCCTCGATGCGCATGCACAGCGTGGGTTACAGTATATACTTGGTTTGTGTGTCTGTGTGTGTGTCTGCTACCACATTTTCTGCCACTAGGCGCAACGAAACAGCCAATACGCTATGCAGTTCGGTGCTACATAGGCTTGTTTTAAACTGGTGATTTTCGTAAAAATACTGAAATCGAAAGTTATGGCGTGAGAAGGAAGTGAACAAGCCAATATGCATATTACCACAGGCTTACCTCGACAAGATGTACTTGCTTGCTTGGAGGCCCAAGAAGTCTCAACGAAGGGTGTATATCGATTCCCGCATGCTGTAGCTAGCCCGTGTTAGACTCTCCGCGAGCTATATACTAGCGGAAGACGAGTAAACGCAAAAGTACTACGGCCCAGCCCAGCGGTATCGCGCAGTTCGCTGAGGGTGGTGCTTTTCATCATTAAATGATGTGCATGGCAGTGGATAATGTGCTGTGTAGAGAAGGTGATGCAAAAAGTAGTGGTTCTTCTGATCATGTAGCTAATCATGTAAGGAGCAAGGCACATGCATAGATTTCTGTGATTTTTTTGATGAGTTGGAAGGTAATCTATGATATGAGCACTCTGAACTTCAATATTCTACTAACGTTTTTTCCCGACGGCATCGACTACATTGTACAAGTCTTTACTGATGTATGCTCTTTTTAACCACAGAGGTTTCGGACTCTTTTTATTCTTTGGACTGTTTTGTTATACATATGTAATGCACTTACATCGGGATTTCCGTTTGCTTTGGTGACTATTAATGCATTCACTTCAGATTTCCGCTTTGATAACGACCTCTGGTAAACGTCTGCATGCGCATATATAGGAAGATGATTGGATGTTCATGAACTGAACATTGCCACTTGTAAATACTATGACACAGACACTGATAGCATGCTGGAACAACACCTGACCCAACCTTCACACATGAAACTGAGGCCCGCTACAGCCCACCCAGCGAGGTGGTTATTGCGCATGCGCAAGGAAAGTAAGGCCGAGGCAGCCGAGACTGTCAAGTCCGCCGCCACCACCTTCTTCGGATAAATTCCAGCCAACCTCTGCCGCCATACAGAGAAATATCCTGCTTACTTGTGAAGCGTTGGTGAGTTAATCTAGCTACGCAAACAAACAGTGGCGGTGGCGGATTATAAGACGATAGAAAAAAGGGGCGTTGCCTTTTTATAACGATGAACGAAGCATCATCCAGCCAGCCTATAGTGCAACAATGCATAAACCTCCAAAATTTTGTTTGTATCAAAACAATTTTTGGAAGGAGATATTTTTATGCTGTTTTTTGCATTGAACGACGCTTTCCATGATGTTTGCAATGGTACATTTTTATGTCCATGGGACCTATGGGTAGCTGGCTTTCATTGTACCCGCCGATTTGTAGCGCTTCCAAGGCTGTAATGTAAAATCTTTACCGTTACGTGACGTCACCAACGTATTGCCGCGTGTTTGCCGCGAAAGTGAGAGAGAAGGCGTCTTCGGTTGTTTTCGAGTCTTTTAAGATACCACCGAGATCTGCTAAGAAGAGACAGCGAGAGTTGAGCCTTGAGAAGGTAAGGGAAGAGAAAAGAAGGCGTTCCGCGGGCGAGAGTTCGACGGAGGTCGCTGAGTCGGGCGCGGACTCGCATGAAGACGATGTTAACGGTATGGCAGACCTCCTAGACGTCAGTATTCATGAATTGGAGACGGATAATAAAGATATAGACCCCTCCTTTGACCTAGATATAAGCATGAAGTCGGACAGTGATCATATGACCGAGCGCTTTGGATATCACACCTCGACCGAGATGATTTAGTGTCTGTGGGAATTTTTCTTTTTTATTTCTCAATGCTATTGTACTTTTTCCATATTTTTTTCTGTAGCAAATGTAGCCTTATGTATTACCTCTCTCTAGGAAAATTTCTATGAATTTTTGTAATACCCTGTGAAAGTACATAGTTATCCAGATAATCATGTCATAAATCGAAAATAATTCATGAAATATTCTACGGAAGAAATAAAACAAACGTTGTCTGATAGGTTAGTAGAGCACATTGAGAGCTTTAGAATGATACCCATTTTGTCCATGTAGGGTGCATTATGAAAATCTACATAGTACTAACAGGAAAATTACATATTCATGTTTGTTTATGATTATGTAATGGTAACCATGGCAACCGTTTCATTTTCATTACTTCTTGATGTCTTGACCATTGTGTTAAGGTTTGTTATTAGTAGAGCAAACAGAAGAGAAGTTATATGCAAAAATAAGATTTCCCAATTATTGGAAGTACATGCATTGTTGCACTATACACTTAAAGATTTGCAGGAAGCCCTTTGTTCAATTAGTACAAAATATAAGCTTCTCGGGATACAAATTGGGGTAGAAAAGAGCGAAATAGATGAAATTGAGGCCAAATACAGTTCCCCAAAGGAACGATTGTGCGAAGTTTTAGACGTCCGTCTAAAACAGCTACCTCCTCTCACATGGAATGATATCGATAAAGCACTTAGATCAAAAACGATAGGTGAACAAAAACTCGCGAATGAAATTCTGGGAGAAAGTGTTGATAAAAACAAGCCAAGAAAAAGGAAGCAAGATCTTCCGAGCGATAAAGATAAGAAAATCCGAAAGTTAGAAGTTATTGAGAAGTTGTCTTTATAGTAAAAGGATATGAAGAAGAGCCGCAATTAGATATGGAGAGAGAAAAAGGCTCTCCGAGAAATGAAGATCCCACTACATTAATGATGGATGAATCATCCTATGAAGAGCTAACAACTGTTTTCAAAAGCTTTTTTGGAAAGCTATGCTTAGAAATTGTTGACCCAGTACACATTGCCGCTCTGATGCTGAAGAAGAAGCTTATATCTGATTCAATAATCCAAGATATGCTGCAATGTTCTGAATCCCAAGTAGCTAAGACAGTTGCTTTAATGCTTGGTTTACTTAGGAAAGTACAGTCACACCCGGAGTGTATTGTTGTTTTTATTGAAGTGTTATCAGAATGCAGAGGCATGCAGATTATTTGCTATGAAATGCTGAGAGAAGCAGGTAAGGAATATGTTTTAAATAAACCCATAATAATACTAGGTTTGTTTTTGTGTATAATAGGAATAGTGTGTCCCAGTGTAATCCTGAAAGGTCAACTCTATACCAAAGGTTAGTCTAATGATTATGGATAAAAGCATGAATATTTCAGCACCTGATTCTATTTTAATGCAGTAAGCACAAACGAAATTATTCAAGTAGCATCCAATAAATCAGAAGTTTCACCAACACAAGCTACATCTGTAAGTTCACACTGTGATATTATGTCAAAACACAATTTGTCTCCAGTTCTACAAAAATATAAAGATTATTTATCATCGTATTACAAAGCTAGAGGTCTTGCTGCTGCTGACAAGTACCTCCCTGCTTTGAAAATTCCCTACATTAATCTTGCTATTGTCACAAGTGAATCCTATAATCCGCAACAGAGGGATGAGTTTACTGAACAAACACTACAGGGAGGGGTTGACCAAATTCTTTACATTAAACAACCAGTTGTTATTGAGGATTTAATGAAACCAGTGAAAAGAAAACCTGTTAAATTTGTTTTAGTAGAAGGTGCACCTGGAATTGGTAAAAGCGCCTTTGCTTGGGAGATGTGTAGGAAGTGGGAAAATATTCATAGCCTACGAGCTTATCAGTTGGTCGTGCTCCTGAAGTTACGGGAACCATGGGTATTAAATGCGGCTTCGTTGTCAGATTTGTTCAGAGTTCCTTTCAAACCTATACGTAGTAAGAGTGCTGCTGAAGAACTTTCTGATTCACAAGGAAAGAACCTTTTGCTTGTATTGGATGGCTTTGATGAGGTCTCTTAAAATATTGAAAGCTCCATTATAAAAAGCATTCTCTCCAAGGAACTTCTGCCTGAGTCCACAATCGTTCTAACCACTAGGCCATCAGCACATTCATTACTCTTTAGTGTTGCCGAGCCAAATGTTGATAAGCATGTTGAAATTGTTGGGTTCACTGAGGTTGACAGGGTGAGATACATCACCGAGATCTTTTCTGAAGAAACAGAAATTATGGTGAATTTCCTAGAATATATGTTGGTCGTTCCTCACATTATGTCCATGATGTACATTCCCCTCAATGCCGCCATTATAGCAAAAGTCTATCATGAGTCACGAACCAGCTGTTCAAACAGTAATAATAATATATTGATACCAAGAACCAGAACTCAATTGTTTAAAGCACTTGTTCATTCTCTTCTTGTCAGACACACTGGGAGTGATGCTTCATGCATGCTTCCCGAAGGTCTTAATGACAAAGATTTGGAAAGGTTTAAGGTTCTTGCTAGGTTTGCCTTTGATACCTACCATAAAAATGAGTTGCTAAAGGTATCTTTTTCAAAGGAGGATATTCCTCAAGATTTTGTCCATTTTGGCTTAATGAATGAATCGAGTGAAATGTATGCAAATGAGGGAATGAAAAGAATATTTTCATTTCTTCACCTAAGCCTGCAAGAATACCTATCCGCCTGGTATATAGCCAATTACTACAGTGTTGAGTTGCAGGTGGCATATCATAACATTGCCCTAAAGCAGGAATGTTCATTGGAAAATGATGTTGCTTATGATGTAGACACCTCAATCTACAAAGGTGTAAATGGGGATGAGAAATAGTTAGTATCTGATCTAGTGAATCCTCAGGGTCGTTATCTTTTGGAGCCAGCCATATTTCTTGCTGGTATAAATGGCTTTAGGAGCCTTTCTGAGGCAAGCATAACAAATCCATGGGAAAAGTATCTGAGTACTGTCAGGAGTAAAAATTCAATATTGTTGTTACATTCTATACATGAAGCTCAAAATCCTGCAATGGCTAGGATCAACTTTACTGGACATACAGGTTGTGTTGAAATGACCTTTGACCCTGCTATGCTTCAAGGCACTTCCTGGTCAATTTTGTTTCAGTTACACGATTATTATAATTCTCTTTGTATGAAAACTTTTGCTAGTGATAAACACGCTTCAAAAGAGACTATATACATTGACATTGGAAGATTTTCTCCATTTGAGTGCTATGCCCTATCGTACTGTATAGCAAATGCTTGTTTTGACTGCAAATTGAGGATTGCCTTTAGAGACAACACAGTTTCTCACACACGAGTGTTTGTCAAAGGATTTAATGATCACTATCTAAATACTCAGCCTCCACACAGTGCTGAAATAACTTTGGCAACATCTCTTGCAGATTATTAATACTCTGTACTGGTTAACTAAAGCATGCTTCTTGAAGGATATTACTGAATTAACATTTCTTTGCTATGCAGCTGGCAGTGACTTAGTTTATACTGCTTTGCAATCATTATTAAAGCTTCAGTCGCTTAAGATTTTGTATTATTTTACCTTTTCCCATGGAGTGGCTCACTGCACTAAAGGACTTAACTGATCTAAAAATATTGCACATCTTTACCCATTATCCATGTGAACCACCAAAAATTAGCTCACCTCTGTGGTCAGAATTCAGTCAACTAGAAGAGATTGTGCTCGATGTCAATGTACCCAAAAGCACTGCATATGAAGTGTTTAGTGAAACTGACGCACTGCTTGAAGAAGTACTAAAATCATTTTTGTCACTGAGCAAACTCGCAAGAGTTGTGTTGCCGTGCATATCTCGTGCAACAATGAAAGGCGTTTATAAATTGCTACTGCGTTGTCCCAGTCTTACAGAATTGGAGCTGAAAAGAACCAGGCTGGGATATGATGGAATTCTTTACATATGCGATGCGTTAAAATGTAACACAGCACTAACACATCTTGTAATTGACGATCTTCATTTGCCATCCTTTTCCACTCCTTCTATCTGCACTATAGCAACTGCAAAATTTATTCCATTGCCTGATAAGGCAACATGTACTAGCTTTCTTTTAGGGCTTAACGATGTTTTGAAAGAAAATTCTTCTCTTCAGAAGCTTAATATCCAATGTGGATTGTTTCGACCTCTCTCTACTGGAGTAAATGGAGATATTTGTCAATTGAGAGGACTTGGCCCCTTACAACAGTTCAATATAGGAGCTGTTTGCAGTGGAAGTCCTCTAAATCGTACACGATCATATTCGTGCTCTGATCTCACTCAGCCAAGTACTTGTCGTTACTGGGAAAGAACATTTCCAAATAATATTATTTCAATTTTTCAAGAAAGCACTAGGCAAAGGATAAAGGAAAATTTTTCTTTCAAGACTTTCTTTTCCGAAAGAGGACATACATATAGAAATACATGCCTCTCGTTTGTAGCTCCTGACACAGCAGTTCTAGAGGCATTTGGTGATATAGACCCACGTCTTCAAGAGTTCCTGATACCAAGTAATTTTGATTATGTAAAGAGGCTGGACAAAACCTTACTAGGAAGTCTAAACTACTTACAAAAAATGTTGACTAATTTTCAGCCATCACTATGCACCCTTAGCTGACATTTGGAGAGAAACTACGACAGTCTCTACTGTGCTCATTGTGATCTGTGTGCTAACCAGTGTAATATATTTTAAGCTGAGAGAATTAACTTTTAACGCTGCCTGCTGGTAGCAAAACAGGTAGAACTGGACTAGTAGAGAGTAGATAACTTGGGTTTGGGTCGCAAAAGGAATGTGGCAGTATAATATAAGAGCAGAACTTATGCTGGTGCTATAAACAGCATTCTTTCACTGGGCCCTGTTGTTCAGTTCAGCTAAATTTAGCCCTTAAGTACGGACACATTCCCTTTAATTAATAATGACCCTGTAATTGATAATACTTGCTTTGCTCATTAACAGATAGTGGTGGTGGTAGTATAATACACAAGTGAGCATGCATGGTAAGACAGTTGAATGATGATTTGCACATGAGATGCAGAAAGAGCTATACTGCTGATGCTTGCTCATTTCTATTTTCAGGTGTTTCTGGGCCTAAAGCTCGTTTGGGTCCGTCCGTTTTACATCTCAGTGACCGTAACAACCATGATGTTTTGAATGGTACCAAATTGAAAAACCATTGCTTAACCCTTAGAAAACCACGGGCATATATATGCCCAAAGCCTCGGTTAATATGTTATACACCAATTTTTGCTTATGGAGATACCCATGACGTCCAAAGGGTTAAAGTAAAGAGAGCTATTGGAATGGCTTGAACCTCAAACAAAATTAGGGATTCAAGCCACCTCCACATCCCACTTGAAAAGATTTTTTCCCCTAACATAAACTATACAGCTCAACCGAGAGTTGACATGTGTTTTGATTATGTAAAAGCATCAATGGTATATACTCTTGAGTACTTTTACACCCAAAATAGCTGCAAATGCTTGAGCTCTGAAGAGCTTCTGTTGTATTCTGAAGACTATAACGATGTTTTTGGAGTAGCTCATATGAAAATGATTGCATGCAATAATACAATACTCCTGTGCACAAAACTACTAGCCCCACCCTTCTTTCGCTGGATGTGGAAATGATGGCAGCCTCTTGTAGTTTTTATAATAATGGTGGGGTACTTGACTATATATGCCCAGAGAGCACGGCATAAAGGTATACATTGTTAAAACTCACTAAGAGGACGAGACTGTTGCATATTATGCCATTGTTGTTAGGTGCACAATTTTAATAATTTTCTCAATTCAATACCATTAAATACTTAAGAGACAAAAAGTAGCAACACATTCATAAGTCAGTGTAGGTGTTCTGCAAGTCAGTAAATGTGTTCTTGGAGACATCAAGAGGAGCTCCCAGAACGGAGGCTTGGCCACGACCCCTGTCTCCCTCCTTTGCTGGCATGTGCAGAAGTTCGTACTCTGACCGAGAGAGAGTTTGTAAGAGGTAGGCAAACTGGGGACGTTTAGATGCCTCTGGATGCCTGGATGAGAGCGCCGAAAAAATGAGGAACAAATTATTATAACTAACATAAGAACACATCAACTACTGAGAGTTCTAACATATCTTATGGAGCCAGAGGGGCATCGACCACAATTAAGGCTCAACTAGTGCTGGGTTAACCTTTATATATAGTTCCTGAGATAGTAGATAATAATTGAAGAACATGCAACTAGTCCTCCTGGCTTGTATCTTGATGCCATTAAGGTGCCATTCGGAAATAATGGACACCAGCACTGATCGTTATGCTACCCCTGCTAAGCATGCACACGAGATTAAAACCTTTGTATATATCAAACAGCATTGTCATACATTTACATAGTACAGTGGTACCTACCAGCAGTGTATGATAAGTCTGTAGATCTCTTTAGGACAGCCAGGTGGTGGAGGCAGACGCCAACCGGTCATCACCAGGTTTACTACCTATGTATAGTACAAAGGCTCTGTTGGCACAGTATCATATATACATGGTGTGAGTACAGTAACCTGAGAGTTGGTGTAATTTTCAAATGGTTTGTGTCCAAGACTCCATATCTCGTAAACAAGGCATCCAAAACTCCACACATCACTGGCTGTTGAGTATTTCCTGTAGTGAAGTGCCTATATAGATGTAGAATAAGTGCGACTATAATGGTAGCAAAATTTGGTAGTGTAAAGTATCAATAATCGTCTGGTACTTGCCGTATATGTAGTTTCTCAAATGTGCAATTGTAAACAGAGATATAACATGAAATCTGTATCTCTCTCAAGACCCTTCAACGTCATCTGACTTTTTGCCTTTTATACTTTGTAGCTACTCTCACGTTCTTCATGGCAGAGCACCCTTCTTATAACTTGTTTGAAAGCCCTGTTGGGTCTAAACTACTGATAGTCCTAACCTTTTCACTGTGAGAGTGTGTTTTGTACGTTCAGAAACACGAGCAGGGGCAGAGTTTTCAGTTGCAACCGACTCGGACTGACCTTTTTACAGCTCTCTTGGAGGAAGGGTCTCGCAGTTGGTCTGACAAAGTAAGGACTAACTTGGTGTTTTGTGTTAGTTTGATCTCTGTGGTCTAATGCCTCCTAATGAGACCCATGCTTGGTTCAAATATGAACTATATTTACAATACCAACCTACCATCGTTTGTAGTGCATTAAAGCATAGCTATTTGTAATTTTGCATGAAATCAGTGTTACACTTGTGGTATGGGTTGTGCTTGCCACTCTCCGCGTACAGTCGCTCCCTGCAACGAGGGCTGGGACGAATATTAGCCGTATTGCACCTGCACCTACGGCTGTACCGGGAAGAATGGTGGATAAGCTGAATCAACCTCTGTCACATGACCATAACCAAGAACTCTGCTGCAAAGAATTAAGCAAAGCTTCCTTTTGGTCGGATTCTGTTTCATTGAGGGTGGATTGTGATATTGTTGCTTAAATTGTTTGTTTGGTGGAGAATTTGGTATCACATTAAAGCCTGGTACATGAAGAGTGTGCTTATAATATGCATGAAATGCATGTATACGAACCGGAAGGGGCAGTGTTTAGAAAGTAACTGATATGAGGAAAATGTATGCAGAGTGTTAGTGGTACCGGGTAGAGACAATACCTTCCACATACGGCACGTAAATACAACCCTTTGGACACCATGGGTATCTTTAAACAAGCAGAAATTAATGTATAACAGTCATATTAACGCCTAGTATTATAGCCATATATAAATTCTTATGGACTTATGGAGGCTCTGGGCATAATATGCCCGTGGCTGGCTAAGGGATAATCATAGTAAGCACAACCTAGATAGTGTTTAGTGCTAGGAACAAAGACAGCCTTTGTGAAAATCCTGGCAATGTAATGTGCATGTTGGCTGAGTTACGCTCGCAGTTCCTTTAACTTGCACCAGTTTGCCGTTACACTATATAGCAATCATCATTAAGTTTATACCTCAGGAGCTGTCCATTTCACAGGGATTTTTCCCCCTTGGGATGTGTAGTATGTACTCTCTTCCAGATCTCGCGCCATACCAAAGTCTGCAATCTGAGAAAACAAGTAATGTTTTACTACACAACTGTTAGCCGTAATTAAAGTTACCTTGCACGTGTTGCCAGAGAGTAAGACATTCCTAGCAGCGAGGTCTCTGTGGACAAAGGATTTGTCTGCAAGGTATGTCATACCAGCAGCAATCTGGTGGCAGAAATCCAGCAACTGCTGATAGAGTGAATTTGGTGGCAGCTCTCCAGGACTGAAAAATTTAGATTGTCATATAGCTATATTACTACTGCCATGGATGAGTTTGCTTGCACGAAGCTACTAACTGCACACTCACATTGGTCTCATACTGATCAAGTTCTCTTTGAGATCTCCATTTTCCATTAGCTCCATTACAATCATAACCTTGAAACAAAACCAGCCACCGATAGTGGTAAGCACATGTGTACTAATAGTGAAAGAGGCACTAACAGGTTCTCCAAGTGTCACCACTCCAAGAAGAGAGATGATGTTAGGGTGAGAGAACTGTCCCATTAAGGCAGCCTCTTGTAGGAACTTGACTTGACTTTCCTCTGAAGCTCCCTTTTGGAGCAACTTGATGGCCACCTCTCTGCTCTTGTCTGGCGAGCCTTCCCACACTCCTTTGTTTACCGTGCCAAATTCTCCTGAGCCAAGGTGCTCTGTTATCCTGTAGAGGTGTGAGACAAGCTATAATTAGTGTATTCTTCATATGAATGCCATTTTGGCAGCAGAATAGGACTCTGCATATGAATACTCTATAGGTTCAGTGGGATGTACCCTAATTGGAAGTGGGCACAATAATAATAGTATGACAGCTAACAGTACATTATAGCGTTAACTGTCTGACTTGTGAAAACAGATTGCTGTTTAGTATTGTGTATGACGACCTAGTATGCTGGAGCAGAGTTGTTTGCCAGTGTTTTGCAACATATAGTTATATATGAGGGGACTAAGATGCCATGTGGAACACTCTAACATTTCACACCACATTCACTCCACTCATGCTCTACAAGGCACTCTCATAGAGAGTATGACACATGCTAATGCTCCGAACATGTGACACCTTGTGACTTGCACAATGCACCCATGTACGGAAAAGGTGAATGGGTTCAGTAATAATCTGTCTATGATTAAGCTTATTGTTAAATGAATCTTGTTCTGTGCAGTATGCTGTCATCAAAGTCTTAGCTAGCTACCCCACATAGTAGCAACAACACATTTGGACTTATGCACATAGGCAGTTGTGAAAGATTGACAAAAATAAAATGTGAACTTAGGCAAGCTCCATTTTGTAGGCAATGTTTTAAGATTGAGAGTGACAAACACTTTTTGAAGTAATGCCAGCACTAAACACTCACTGTAGCTGATCTCGGCGTATTTCTCTGAAGCGATACTTCGACAGTTGCTCATAGAGCTCGGCTGTGTTTGAGGCTGGCACCCAGTATATGTCGCTCTCAGTGAAAAACTCCCGCTCCTCTCCATCAGAATTGTTAATACCACCGTTTCGTACCACCTGCACAAGAAGAAATTGAGTTTATAGGTTCTGTATAATGAATGTATTTACTGGTTGTAGCTCGGTGTGTGGATACAGATATATGTCGTCAATTTCCTGATAGACTTCTCTTTGATCCTGTGCAGGACAAGAAGACCACAATAACTACCCAAGTAGGTATTGCTACAATGACTATATACCATTGTAGGAACTGTGAAACCCAACTCAGCAGCTTCCATTGATTTTGATAAGGGCTACATAAAGTGAGGAAAGTGTGCATGACAGAATCAAGTCCTAAATTTTGCTTACTATTTCATATGACTCTTCAGTGTCTGGAGCGGCATACAAGTGTGTGTCCTCTTGGAAGTTTGGGTAGACTTGTGCAGTATCTGTGTTTCTCATGTACTTAGCTGCAACAACATCCCCTACATATGGGAAAATTACTCTGTCAATTAAGGGTATAACACTTGTTTATGAGAAGCTTACCATAACTAGGGTTTTGTACTCCACCAGTAACAATTTGTTTGAATCTACCCCTTTTCTTGCGTAGCACAAAGAGGATGATAA